TTACACAAAGATACTGTTCAAAACAGTTATTCTGGTGTGTATCAAGGGTCATAAAAATATCCATTGTTGGATCTAGAAACTTCACTCTCTTCTTAAGAATATATCCTAAAGAAACAGTTTAATATGTGGGGTATATGCAGAGCCCTGGGCTCAATCCCCAGAACCACAAAAAAAGAAAAAGGTGGGGAAAACTACATCCAGAAAACTTTTCATTGCATTACATAAAATAGTATAAAAATGAAATCAAGCTAAATGCTAAGACAAAAGTGACTGAGTAAATCATAGTAATCTATTTGATAGAATCTTTCTTAACAGCAGTTGAAAATGATGAAGGGTTATATTATAAAATCAAGGAAGATGAGAGTCATGGTTTAAAAAATATTGGGGAGTAGAGGGTCCTGGGGATTGAACCCAGGGTGCTATACCACAGAGCTGCACTCTTAACCCTTTTTATTAATTTTGAGACAGGGTCTTACTAAGTTGCAGAGACTAGCCTCGAACTTATGGTGCTCCTGCCTCAGCCTCCCAAGTGCCTGGCTTAAAATTTATTTTTAACTTATAAAGACATAACAGTCAGACATTAATTTTTTGATGTCATGATCCTTTTCTTAAAACATTTTTAAGCTGTCAATGAGCCTTTATTTTTATGTGGTGCTGAGAATCAAATCCCAGTACTTCACACATGCTAGGCAAGAGCTCTACCACTGAGCTATGACCCCAACCCCAATGTTATGATTCTTAAGTAGCTTTTAACATAAAAATAGCTATGTTCCATTAAATAAAAATAAAAACAAAAAGAATAAATAGAAAATAGTATTATACTCAGTGAGAAAAGCACAGTACAGTTATATCTATGATATGATTATAAGTTTTCTCAAGAACAGAGTAAGAATACTGGAGAGTTGTTTTACAGGGTTTTATTTTTTTCTTTCTTTACATATTATATGTAATATTTAATTTTTCAAATATATATTTTCAAAATATAAAATATTTTTATATTTTTAGTTGTAGACGGACATAATACCTTTATTTTGCTTATGTAGATTTTTTTTAGTTGTTGATAGACCTTTATTTTATTTATTTGTATGAGGTGCTGAGAATCAATCCCAGTGCCTCACATATGCTAGGCAAGTGCTCTACCACTGAGCCACAATCCCAGCCCTTATTTAGTTTTTTTATGTGGTGCTGGGGATCAAACCCAGTGCCTCATGAGCTAGACAAGCACTCTACCACTGAGCCACAACCCAGCCCAGTATTTTCAAATATAATCAAATCTTTTTTTTTCCCCCCAAAAAAAACCTGGGACACTCTGTCTTTGGCTTCAGAGTTCTACAATGTAGGTTCTGGCATTCTGACTTTCCAGGTGAGAAACTAAGGCTGGGAGAGTTAAGTTATCCAATGTCACAAATCTAGTACTGGCAGAACAGAGATTGACTAACACATCCAGCATCTAACTGTCTTCAAAAGGCCTGAACTCTTTTTTGTTTGCTTGTTTGTTTTGTTTTGTTTCCACTCCTGGTGACAACACTGAGATCAAATGAGGCAAATGTTATAGAAATAAATGCTGAGTGAAATGGGAGTTTTGTCCCTCTCTGGGGTTTCAGGATCATCTTCTCTTCCTATGCCTTCCCCAATAGGACAATGATCCTAACTGTAAATCTTTATTTATTTTTTAAAGAGGCTGCTAATATCCTGTTATATTATTCTTTTTAAAAATGTCTTGTAGCAGGGTGTGTTGGCACGCACTGTAATCCCAGCTCAGGAGGCTGAGGCAGGAGGATTTTGAGTTCAAAGCCAGCCTCAGCAAAAATGAGATGCTAAGCAACTCAGTGAGACCCTGTCTCTAAATAAAATACAAAATAGGGATGGGGATGTGACTCAGTGGTTGAGTGTCCGAGTTCAATCCCAGTATCAAAATAAAATAAAATAAAATGTCTTGTATCTTTTGTTGAAGGGAAATTGTTATCTATGAGATGCTATTTGAAATAAATGGGTAACAGGTAAGAGCTTGGAAATATTTACAACAGGAGGAGGTAATTTGGTTTTACACATCTACAAATACATTATTATTGTTACTTAGAAACTATTACTAAATTGTTAAAAATTAATAAATTTAAATTAATTTTGGGGGAAACCCTTTTATATAAAATTATGACCCATATGTACCCACTGCTTACCAGTAGATTTATTTCAGTTACAAAGAAATATGGGGTGGGGGTAGAGTCTCCACTTCTTATCTTTCTTCTGTGCTCTCCCAAGTATAGGAATCACAATTCAATACTATATATATAACAGATGTCCTGACCTCAAATTAAATATTTTCATGTATATTTATTTATTCAAATTAGTTATGGATCCACATGATTCAAAATGTAAAAGATAGAAAGGGGGATTCAATGTCATCTGCCTCCCACCTGCTCCTGTCTGAGTATCCCTGTCTCAGTTCTCAGTTTTATTTTGCAAACCCAGAAAAATCCCAAGAGGCTCTTTAAGGCAAAAGAAAGCAAGTTGACTCAATTTAATCTAAACGAAAGGGATTTACTCTAAGTTGACACTACTTAAGGTGCTGGTTTGCCCCTTTCATAGCTTCCCCCAAATTTTCTGACACTTTAAAAAGCAGCACTCAAGGGGGCTGGGGTTGTGACTCAGCGGTACAACACTCTCCTAGGTTCTAGGTTCTGGGTTCGAGCCTCAGCACCACATAAAAATAAATAAATAAATAAATAAAGGTTTTTAAAAAAAACAGCACTCACTAAACTATAAAATAGTTAAACAGCACCTTGTCAAGAAATTTTGATTTTGAACTTGCTAATATGCAAACAAATCTCTATAAATTGATTAATAAGAAATTTTATTTCATTTTATTTATCATTTATTAAATCTCTGCTTCTTTTCTTCTGTTGAACAGGATGGAAGGCAAAGATTTGCTTTGGGACTACTTTGAGACTTTTACACTTCAGGCCAGGGCAAAGCATATAAGAAATAAAACAAATAGAATGAGCTTAATTTCTATTCAGCTGATTGGGTATTCGTGATTCTTCTGACTGAGATTGCTTACTTCTGCATTTATCTATAAAGAAAGAGTATGTTGAGCAATTAAACAATGCAAGGAGAATAGTTAAGCAATTAGATATGCCTCTTGTCATACAGTAGAGGCACAGGCCATTGTGAACAAAATGTCTAACTTATTAAAACATGCTTGGAGCACCACAATGCTAACTAAATATTTTCCACTAGTTTTAGTGTTTACAATGCAAAATAAAAATAATTTAAGATCATTTTATAGAGAAGGGTTTTAAGGGCTTTTTGGTCTCATAATAATTTTGGACTGGTCAAAAATGCCATGGGCTTGAGGGTGTAGTTCAGTGGTTACTGAGCAAGTGCAAGGCCCTGGGTTTAATACTCAGCACCAACAAAACAAAACAAAATATGGTGGTTATTTTGTAAGAACTGGGTGCATCGCCCCCTTCCTTCAGTGTTTGATATTGGAGAATTATTGTGCATGAAATAATGATGAAAATCCAACTCAATTCACTTAGAAAAGTAACGTGATCACAATAATATCCACCCATATCAGGAAAGGCTGTATTGGAGGCTTTTAATATACACAGTAGGCCACACACTATGTATCTCGACAAACACTGAAGATCGCTGTATTTGTTTGTTAATTTGGTTATGGGTGAAGTTTTGAGGGTTTTTCCCCCTGTTCTATTAATAGAACTAATTCATTCCACGCATTTATTTACTTAGTCTAGACATTCGTTAGCCTACCGTGGACATGATGAATATCCAGTGCCTACACTCAGGAAACATACAATCCAAGCGAAAAGTTTACTTTTCAATAATCATTAGGGTTGTGCTATAATGGCGCTTCACTGCTCCCCGAAGGACAGGTGCTGGGGTACAGCCTCAGGAGGTGGCAGAACCCGCGCTCGTGGTCTGCTGTCCTAGCCTTGGCCAAGCAGGACGGGGTGAGCCTAGCAGCGGTCCTCCATGCCCCCGCGCGCTCCCTCCCGGGTGGCCTTTAATTTCGCAGCTCCGACCACCGGAAATTAGCAAAAGGCTGAGCAGACCCGGCGGAGTGTCTGGTGAGCTCGGCTCTGGGAAGGCGCGCCCACCGGTCCCGCCGGGCGCCCGCGGGACGCGCCGCCAGGGCCCTCTCCGCCGGGGGCTCGGCGCTCGCCCACCTCTTCCAAATTTAACCATTACCTAAATCCGAAGGGAAATGAGCAAACCTCTCGGATTGGGTGTCAAGGTATTTTCAGCCTGGTTGGGCGTATTTATCCCGAAGTGTTTCCACAACAAGCTATTTCGGGGCCCCGAGGCAGGTTTCGCTCTGCGGACGCCGTGGCCACTCGCTGGGCTCCAGGCCGGCGGCTCCACGCGCCAGTGATTCATGCCGGATTCCGGGGGCGGGGGGGGGGGCGTGCAGCCCAAGCAGGCCGCGGGGTTGGGGGGGGTGCCCACGGCCAAAGGAGCAGGGAGGCCTCCTCCGAGCGGAGCACCCCCGGCTCCCGCCGCTCCAGGCAATCTGTGTCCTGAATCGAATCTGTGACTTCTCGCTGCGGAAGTCTCCCAGGAGCCAAGAATAGTTCAATTTTCTTTCTAGTCATTTCTAGTGCCTGGGTGACGGGACCTCTGTGTTCCTCCATCCCCCGCTGGTCCACAGAGGGGAGGGGGAATGGGGAGGTCCGCGAAAGGGCGTCCAGGAAGCGGGCTAGAAAAATCAGGTCCTAGGCCTCCTCGGGGACCACTTGTTCAAAGGAGGAGCGCGCCCCTCCGCCCAACTAGGGGTTGGGGGATAGGTCTGAGAGGGCTAGGGAGCTACTCTGTAACGCTCAGGAAGTGAAGCTTGTGGTTTTGGGGGCTGAGCTCAGAAGGAGATTAAAAAAGAGAGAGAGAGAGAAAGAGACAGAAAGGTCTCTCCCGAAAGCAAGATTCAGTTTGCAAACTCGTGTGTCCGCGCCCTGACCCCGCAGGTAGGTTTGCTGTACCTCTTCTGCGCCTCCTGCCCTGGTGGGGGTGGCCACAAAGATTGGCAGGGCACTGATACTGCGGGGGCGACCAGAGGGCGCTGGCGGGTCCCCACCTGCTGCCGGCACTGTGTGGGAGTTGCCAGAGCTCCTGCTGCTGGGTTCGGGCGCCACCAGCGTAGTGGGGCTGGGAATTTGGAGTAGAGGGGCGAGCGCCATAGGTTTGGTGGTCGGTCAGCGGAGTGGGATCCCCCCGGGAAGGAAACATCAGATGGGAAGACAGCGACAGCTGGTCTCGGGAGGCCGCTGGATTAGCCCTCTTCAGCTCCCGCCTTCCCGGTCCTTGACTGGAAAGAGAGGGCCGGCGAGCCGGCGTGAGCTGAGGGACCCGCCCCGCCCCTGGCCTCCAGCTGCAGCCTGAGGTTGTGTTCCCACGCATTCACTTCTTCGCCCTACTACCTCCTACCCGAATCCCCCGCCCCTTCACGCCCACCCCCACAACTAGCAAGCTAGCTAGGGTGCGAGAGAGGCGCGAGTTTGTGGTCCGGGTGAGGAGGCCTCCTCTGTGTCTACCTTGTGCCAGATCCAGCGCGGGAGCAGACATCACTTCTGCTCCCCACCGGTCCTGCTTCTGGCCAAGCCACAGGGAGGCCCTCGGGACGACTTCACCCTGTTTTCCTTTCCTCCAAGTTTCATCATTTTTTTTTTTTTTTTTAGAGATTTTAAAATTATCTATCTATCTATTTTGGCGTTTGTGGCATCTAATTGTACGAGCACACTGTGCAGGAAAAACTGAAGCTGCAGTGCCCCTGTCCAGGGAGCCATCCCAAATGGAGGCAGGCAGCACCCTCACCCCTTTAGGCATTCATTCTGGCGCTTAGATCGCGGGAAACGTCAATGGGATTCCCGCGTCAAGTTCCAGACTTATTTCTCCTAGGCGTATTCTCACTCCTCTGGGGAAGGGAACATAGTAGGAAGAGGATCTGGAGTAGGGTGAGTGCACTGCCAGGGACCAAGTTCTCTAGGACTCATTCTGCGTAGAGAACGTATCAACAGTCCTAGTGACCTGCATCATGCCCGTGAACGGAACGGTTGCGAGTCCCGCAGTCTCAACCGCGCAAAGCCCTAGCACAAGGAGTTCTGCCCCGGCATGGAGTCCCCAGCGCCCTGGTTTCTGAACTTGCTGAGGCTTGCCAGTGCCGCTCTGCCCGTAGAAAATACAGCTGTCTTGAGAACCCGGCCCCCATCGCCTTCGCAGAGAAAGGAAGACAGATTCGTTTACCCCAGACTCCTTGGTCGCGGGGTTCCGCCCCCGGAGCCCGCCGCTAGCCAGGCTGGAGTCGCCGCCCCGCCTCCCCGCCGGGCTCCGGTTTCGACCCGAGATTAGGTGAACTGATTGGGATTTAATGAGAGCGACGCAGCAGACAGCTAGCTCCCTACTGCGCTGGCTCCCGGACCCTCGTTTTCTGTCCACGGCCAGCACAGCCGGCACGCCGCTCAGTTGTCTTTCTTGTCCGTTAAGCCATGGGTGCTCCATGAACTTAGGACGCCGCGCGGTTCCCATTCAGCACGCCCAGGTTGGTCTCGACATCACTAGGACAAGATTTTTGGGAAGCAGAACGGAAAGTGCTATTTCCCAGGACCTGGTTTTCGAGGTTAGGCCTCCATTGTCTATGGTGACTTGTGACGGTTGGAGACGTGGCTGATGACCACCGCACCCTCAACTTGGAGACAAACTTTTCCCTGTGTGGGGCGAGAGTGAGTGGTGAGCAAGATCACCCGGATGCTAGTTTCTCCCGGGGCAGAGGTTGACCCTTTGCATTCACCCCCTCCACCACCGCGTCACCTTCCTTTCCCTTTGCCCTCCCGCCTCCCTTCTCTGGCCTCAGTTGCCTGCAGTAGTCCTATTGCTGTCCCCCTCCCAACCCTGTCTTTCAGTCCAGCCCAGGGCGCCCCACTTCTGCCCCTCTTTCACTTCAGTTTGTAGTGGGCTCTTGGAAGTCTTGGCCTCTTCCGGGTCCTAGACCACTGACTCATCCTCGGCCCTTACTGACCCGCGTGTTCCAGCTCTCCCGGTCCAACTAGGCAGGCAGTGGGTGGTCGAGTTGGAGTAACGGACTGGTTGGGAACTATGGCTCTCCAGAGAGTTTGCACTAGCTAGCTTTAGTAAGGAAGGGGAGGGGCCGGGGGCGTGGGCAGAGCAGAGGAAAGGGCCTGAGCCAGGGCCTTGGGACAAGTTTTACCTCTGAGCTGTGGCAGTGCCGGGAGCGGACAGAGCTCGCGCCACCTGTCCGAGTGCCACCTGGTGAGCGTTGTGCATGGGAGGGGGGGTGCCAGGCCCCTCCTCCCACGGGCTTTCTTTGCTCCTCCCCGGCTAGCGTTCTCCCTTTGCCTTGGTACCCAGTCCCCGACCTCGGAGGGTGCTGACTCGCGTTTCCACCCGATTTTCCCTTCAACTCAGGTCTCTGCTGGGGCTGAAGGAACACTTGGAGTGACTGTGGGCTGACGGAGGCTATAGGAGCATTTGGAAAGGAGTGGGGAAAGCGTTGGGCCACCATGCCGCGCTCTTTTCTCGTAAAGAGCAAGAAGGCTCACAGCTACCACCAACCACGCTCCCCGGGACCAGACTACTCCCCCCGTTTGGAGAATGTACCAGCACCAGGCCGAACAGGTGCGAGGCGCGCGGAACCCGGCAGGGCAACTCCCTGGGACACCAACCTTGCACCCTGCCTCATCATTTCTTGGGAACCCGGGGAGGCGACCCCAATACCCGCCTTGTTGTCTTTTTTTGTTTCCTACTGTTGTGATTCCTCATGAGCTTGTCTAGGTGCCAGGACCTTCCTGAGACAGCTTTCGGATCCAAGAGGGTTTCTGGTCTGATCGGAGTGGATAGAGGAGGACGCTCGGGTGCCACGGTCTTGCAGGGCCCCATTTCAGAACCCTCAAGCTCGTCCGGGCTCAGCCTAATTCCTCTCCTGATTCCTCTCCACAGACAGCATTTCGAGTTCAGGAGAGGGGAAGGCGGAGCCCGGGGACCGTTTGTCCCCTGAGTCTCAACTGATCGAGGCCCAGGACAGAGCCTCTGCGTCTCCGGACAGCTGCGAGGGCAGCGTCTGCGACCGGAGCTCGGAGTTTGAGGATTTTTGGAGGCCTCCTTCACCCTCCGTGTCTCCAGGTAAGAACCCGTTGGGAGATTCTGTGGTAGGGGCCGGGAAACCCGGCATTGAGCTGGGAACTGGCGCGATCTTGGGCGCAGAAATGCAAAATCGGTAACGGAGTCTTACCCTGAGGAGGGAACTTATTCGTGAGGGATGGGTCCCAATGGGGGAAGCATCAGCCTGTTCTGCGATTGAAACAGTTTGCCCCATCACCACCCCGAATCCGCTGTCTACTTTTAAGGCTTTGGAACCCTGGCTGCAGGTAGTTTGCATTCGTTTGCGTGGAGCTGACCGGTGAGAGAAAACAAAGCAGATATCTCCACTGGCTACTCCAACGTTTAGTTGTGGTGTTTTTTTGTTTTTTGTTTTTTGACCAGAATTGATTTGTTTAAAGATATTACGATCCCAGATCCCGGAACCCAAACAAATGGAGACCCGGTAGTCTCAGCCTGACTAAGCTGGGCGCCAAGTGGAAGAGAGGGGTCGGTGAACAAAATCTCAGCTCCCTGCTCGGTCTTCACAGGCACGGATTGGGGGCTTCTTTCATTTTTCGTTCTGCCAATATGGCCCAGCCTCGGGACCAGCCTACTGGGTTTCATTTCCAGCGAGCAGTAGAGTTTCCTGCAACCGGGTGACTGCACGTTGGGTGGGGGCAGGGCTCGGGTCCTGGACGGTCGGAGTAAGGAAGGAGCAGACCAGCCCAATTCTGCCAAGGCGAGTTGTTTCCAGAATATATTTATTAGTTTTAAAAGATCATCTCCAACAATCCCACACTCAGTTAGTTGACTTGATCAGACCTGAGCTCCAGCGAGGAAAGCTGGAGTAGTGGAGGGGTCTTTCTGGCTGTGTATGACACACACCCCCCCCCATGGAGAACAGGGCACCTCCAGAACCCTTCTGTCTGAAAATCAGGTTGCAGCTTCTCACTACATTGGTCAGCCTGGACTGGAGTGTGTGTGTGTGAGAGAGAGGGGGAGGTGTGGAAGGGAAGAGAACAAATCTACTAGTTTTAGCCAAGTTCACGTGGAAGGGTGCAGCAGGATTCAGGAAGCTTATCCTGAAGATGTTGACTAAATATTTTTAATTGTAAAGTCATTCTTTCTGAGAAATTCGTCACCCTGCCACTCCATCAAAATATAATAGGAATCGGGTTGGAGAGAATTCGGCACCCCTTTCCCGCTATTTCTTTGCTACGTACACTAGGCACTTAACTTTGAGGATCTTAACACCTTGAGGTCTTTTCGGACATATGCGTAGTAGTTCCGGGTCCTCTCCCTTCTGCATCATCGGTCCGGGAAAGAAAACCGATTGATTGTGAACATGTAGTGGCTTAGGAGAGTGTTGGCGCTGATGTCTGGACCTTCTGCCCAAGAGCCCCCTATTCAGGGACTAAACAACCGCGCTTTCTCCTCCCGCACAGCTCAACTCTTTGTGTCTAGACGAGCCTTGTCCTTTATGGGACCTCCAGGTGCTCGGATCCCGCCAACGGCGAGGACTTCCGAGGCCCTCCAACAGAATTTACCTTTCTCTCTATCTGCTGTCATTTTAACCATCAGTTTGCTACCCTGCCACTGACCCGCCCGGCCCCAGTGTCCTGGCTATGTTTTACCCCGGAGCGCCCCTGGAACTTTGCGTGGCACCTGCACACGCACTGTTCTACAAATGTTGGGCGCCTGGTAATGCTCGGTGCACCCGGCTCCACCCTGCTTAAATCTGACCTGACACCCTCCTGTGCTCTACAGCGTCAGAGAAATCCATGTGTCAGTCGCTGGACGAAGCCCAACCCTTCCCTCTGCCTTTCAAGCCGTACTCATGGAGTGGCCTGACGGGTTCTGACCTACGGCACCTGGTGCAGAGCTACCGGCCTTGTACAGCTCTGGAACGCGGCCCCGGCCTCGGTCTCTTCTGCGAGCGTACACCGGAGCCTGGCCACCCGGCCTCGCTCTACGGCCCAGAGAGGGCTGCAGGCGGCGCGGGGGCCGGAGCCCCAGGAAGTTGCAGCACAGGAGGTGGCGCTGGCGGTGGCGTGGGCCTGGGGCTCTATGGCGACTTTGGATCTGCTGCGGCCGGGCTGTATGAGCGGTCGACGGCAGTGGCTGGCCGGCTGTACCCGGATCGCGGCCACGAGCTACACGCGGAAAAGGGTGCTGGTGTCAAGGTGGAATCTGAGTTGCTGTGCACCCGCCTTCTGCTGGGCGGCGGCTCCTACAAGTGTATCAAGTGCAGCAAGGTGAGATTCCTGCGCGCCCAGCCTTGGCAGCCCGGTGCCAGAGTCCCCGGCCCGCGTACCGCCACTGCCCGCTCCCGGCGGCCCCTCTCAGCGGCCTTCTCCCCGGCCCCACCCGTCTCAGGTGTTCTCCACGCCGCACGGGCTCGAGGTCCACGTGCGCAGGTCCCACAGCGGCACCAGACCCTTTGCCTGCGAGATGTGCGGCAAGACCTTCGGGCACGCGGTGAGCCTGGAGCAGCACAAAGCCGTGCACTCGCAGGTAAGCGCAGGGCATACTGACTGCCGCGCGCGCAGCCCTGCTCAGGTCTTCGAACTTGAGATCTTTTGTTCGTCCTCTGTGCGGCACCAGACGCTCTCAGCAAGGTGATTTTGGCCCCACTGCCTCCCAGTCTCCTCCTCCAGTCCCTCGGTCAGGTCCTCTTGCCCTGATGTAGGTGTATTGGGAAAGGTAGGTGGTAGCAGACTCAGGCCTTGAAGCAGTCTTGCATTTGGACGTCACATCATTGTGAGCCTTCCGGGTGTGATCCTAAACATTCCTTTGGGGTTGAGGAAGGTTTGGGTGCACTGAGACTTGCTGCTGATACATTAGCTCTGTTTCTTTGTCCGGATTTTTTTTCCTGCCAAATGGTTGTCACTTAATTTGCATTAGCCCCTCCTAACTGAAAAAGGTGGTACGTGGGCTCATTTAGAGCATCTACTAGCACATTTTCCAGGCTGTTCTTGCATTTATTCGTTTATAACTATTTGTTGCCTAACTTCCAGGTGACTAGTACTTCAAAATTCTATAGCACACCAGCTCTTTGATAGGATGCCCCACGGAGAGTACAGTTTAGTTGAAAGACAGAGGGTAGATAAGTAAATAAGTACACAAATGGCTATGTCAGAAATCTTATGTACAAAGATTTGTTAACTTAGAGTATCAGCCTGTCTCCTCCAACACCCACAATGGCTGAGGGGTGGAGGCATCTCAAGTGACTGAGGTTTAAGCCTCCAGTTGAAGAGGGTGGAGAAGTGTGTATAAATGGGTGTCAAAAATGCAGGGTGGGGATAGTTTTTGCCATGAGATTTGGAGGGCTGTGGGTGAAAAGTGTTTTGATAGAAAAAAAAAATGTTAAGGGGTGGGTGTTAAGGAGAAGTATGGAGAGTATGGGGACTGGAAGTAAGGGGGGAAGGGAGGATTATGTAGAAGCAGAGCCCTGGCTTTGGAGTTTCTAGGGTCAGGTTAGTGGTGAGGAGGTAGCAGCCTAGGTGTTTGCAGTAGGAGTGCTGCATCTCTCTCTCTCTACAGGAGCGCAGCTTTGACTGTAAGATCTGTGGCAAGAGCTTCAAGAGATCATCTACACTGTCCACACACCTGCTTATTCACTCAGACACTCGGCCTTACCCCTGTCAGTACTGTGGCAAGAGGTTCCACCAGAAGTCAGATATGAAGAAACACACCTTCATCCACACTGGTGAGCTGAAGATACCCAGAGGCCAATACAACTCACCTTCTCTGATATTCTAGCCCCAGTGAGAGGTGGATGAGGTTTTCTGGATGGAGTTAATCACTGCATGTTAAAGAAAACAAAGAGACAGATTCTTCTAGGTTCATTCACAGATGTGATTCTTCCCAGAGGGGACTTGATCTGGGATTGTGTCTCAAGGACCAGCAGGTCAGATTGCAGGTTCTCCATCCTTGGAAAGAGTAGGTTTTTTTTTTTTTTTTTTTTTTTTCTAGTTTAGCAGCTGCTCCAACTGCTTCCTGCTCTGGGTGAAATATGAAGCCCCAGAGACCTCTCAGAGTTTTGCTCTAAATGTTTACCTAGAGATTGAAGACTTTCTGTAGGGCTCCCACAGAGGCTTTTTTGGGAGGGACTCATGTGTTGCCTTTCTACTGTATTTTTAGGAGTCAAGAGCTTATTCTACTTGAGGAGGAAAAAACAATGGCAATATTACTAAGCTCTGTTAAACTGCATTACCTCATCTTATTCTCACAACAACTTCAGGAGATAGAAACTCTTCCTTGTCCCCATTTTAGAGATGAGGAAAGGAGGCACAGAGGGATTAAGTAAACTGCTCAAGGTCACGCTAGCAAGTAGGGGGCCAGAGCTCAAGTTCAGGCCTATGTGACCTCTCAAATATCTATGCTCTTGTCCTGTTTATCCTATTCTGCTTTCAAAGTCATGAGGATTGGTAGACACAGAAAGCTTCTCTTCACGTACGGCTGTTTTCACAAAATCAGCAATTTTATGCCTTAGTAGTGATAATTTCTTACCTGTTGTAGCGTTTTATAATTTACTCAGTGTTTTCAAATCTGTCATTTCATTTGATACTTCCTGTCACCCTATAAAGTAGAAAAAGCTGCTCTTACCATCCAGAAACTCAGAAACATTGAATGATACCCAATATCAGACTACAGAAATCATGACACCATTGAACATTTTGACTGCCAATCCTGAATTTTTCCCTGAGCTGTAACTCTGGCCCTGTTTGTTTTTTTTTTTTTTTTTTTTAAACAGGGCCTTGCTAAGTTGCTGAGGCTAGCTTCAAGCTTGAGGTGCTCCTGCCTCAGCCTCCTGAGTAACTGGAATTACATGTGTGTGCCACTGTGCCTGGCCAGATGAAAGTTTTAATGCCAGCAGCTCATGGGTTCACCTTCAGGAACACATTATTTTTTTCTTTTTGTGGTGATGGGAATTGAACCCCTGGGCCTCATGCATGCTAGGCAAGCACTCTACCACTGAGCCACATTCACAGCTCCAGGAATGTTCTCTTTTAATTCACCAAGACATTTACATTAGACCTGGAATTTTTGACAGTGTTATTGCAGAATAGGAATATTAATTTAAAACAAATGGCACTGTGTTCCAAATAGCTACTGTTGATATTTATGAATATTCTTGGACAGTGTAGATATTCCTATCCAAAATCTCAGAAAAAAATCTTACTTTAATCATACCCTTTTGCCTGAAATTTCCATAGAATTCACTCCTTTATAAGTAAAGGTATTTAAGACACTTATCAAAATGCAACTAGGATCTTGACTGAATGAAACATGAAATCTTTATCAAACATTTACATTATAGCTAGAATTGGTTTCTCAGATTTGTTTGAGCCTAAAGAGATACGATAACTTTTGATGGGTGATTTCTTATCCAAGAAATCTGAAGCATGAAGAGAGAAGAGAGCATAGCAAGAGGGAAAGAAGGTTCCTCAAAATCAAACTTTATCTGTTTTCATTTTTAGCCCCAATACTATTAGTGCTATGTTGGGGTTATTTGAAAATAGATGACATTTACCTAAATGTCACATAGTACATGAGATGGGGAAAAGACAAAATCTTTTCATGTCTAGTAATTTATTAATCTTTGGTAAAGAGTTGCTGTCATATAAAGAATCTTCCCAGGCATGGTGGCATGTGCCTATAATTTCAGCTACTTGGGAGGCTGAGACAGGAAAATTGCAAGTTCAAGGCCAGCCTCAGCAATTTAGTGAGGTTCTAAGCAATTTACCGAGAACCTGTCTCAAAAATAAAAAAATAAAAAAAATTTTTTTAAGGGCTCCGTGGTTAAGCACCCCTGCATTCAATCCTCAATACCAAACAGAATAGAATACAGTAGAATACTATGATTAGTCTCATAAAAAGAAAGTAAAATCCAGGCAGAAAAAGACTAGCTACTTTAAGAAATACTTTGTCGCTGGGCATGGTGGCACATGCCTATAATCCCAGTGACTTGGAACACTGAGGTTGGAGAATCACAAGTTTAAGGCCAGCCTCAGCAACGTAGCGAGACCCTGTCTCAAAACAAAAGTAGAAAGGATTGGGGACATATTTCAGTGGCAAAGTGCCCCTCAGTTCAGTAGCCAGTACTGGAAGAAATGAGAAGAAAAGAAAACAAATACCTTGTAGCTCAAATGTGGACTTTTAAAATAAGACTGAGAAATGTCTATGCCTCAGATACATTCTGTGGTCCTTCAAGATCAAGAAAGAAGACAGGCTCTCTGGTATACAAAACCAACACCCACTTGGAAACTCAGATTTGAAAACTTCCTCTGAATTAAAGCCAAGTCACACGGTTTGTAGGACAGCTCCTCCCACCTCCTGTTGAACATCTGTTCTGGGTGCTCTCTGCTTCTAAAAGTCAGGGGAGTCCTCCGAGGTGGATTCAGCTGGGGGGGGGCACGTGGCCTTTGCTCTGTTTCCGTTTAGCAGGAAACCGTTTGAGGCCTCTGGCTGGGAACCCCCACTCAGAAAGTCTCCCTTCCACCTGGTGTACCCATGACTTCCCGGGACCACATTGCAGGCTGGGAGTCAGTTCATGTTGCAACACATCCCTCTTTGAGTTGCTTGAAGGTCTTAGACTGTGGTGCAGCCAGCTGCTGCCAAGAGCATGTGGGTCACAGTGGATCTCCTCTAGCTTTGTCATAAACTCATACTTTCTCCCCTCCCCCTTCCATTCCCGCAGGTGAGAAGCCCCACAAGTGCCAGGTGTGTGGCAAGGCATTCAGCCAGAGCTCCAACCTCATCACCCACAGCCGCAAACACACAGGCTTCAAACCCTTTGGTTGTGACCTGTGTGGGAAGGGCTTCCAGAGGAAGGTGGATCTCCGGAGGCACAGAGAGACACAGCATGGGCTCAAATGAGCACCCTCACTAGCTGCAAGCAGCAGCTACACGACACTACGGAGGATGGCTTCCCTGCTTGCCTCTAGCCTCTCTAATTTCTCAGGCCCCCCAGTCCAGTCTGCAGATCCCACCAAGGTGAATCCCCTTCACCTTACTTTCTGTAGCTGCCAGAGGGAACAAGTTACCTTTTTAAAGTTCTTTGCCGAGTGGGAACCACAGCAACTCGCTGGACTTTAGGCTACTCTACACCTGAAGATGTGAAGTCAAGTGGGGATCAGATAAAATCTTGGACTCCACAGTTCTTCTCATTTCTACCCTGTTCCACAGACAAGAAACTTCTTCAGGCGTTGTCCCTCTTCCTGAATTCCCCTAGATACTTATGTGGAAGAGAAGGAGCCCCCATTTACAAGTGGACACATGCTATAGTTTTAGCTAGAAAGAAGAGTGAGTGTTTTTTTTGTTGTTGTTGTTGTTGTTGTTTTGTTTCCTTCTGGAAAGTTTGTTGACCCCTTTTTGTTTGGGTGCTGCCTGTAAATCTCAGAGGAATCATTTCTCCTCCTTGAAGAGTGGTTCAGAAACTGATTTGGGGAAGGATCTTAATTATTTTGAAATCACCAGATGCACCATCAAGCCTGCCCCAGGAAGAAACAGAAAAATAGACTTGGTGATGAGAGGAGGATCAGAGGTCCTTTCTGCAGGAGGCCTGTGAAGGCCTCATCAGAGGTTAAAAACGTGAAGCAGTGAACGAGATGTCATTCATTCATTCAGCAAATATTTATTAACCTTTGGTTACCAAGGTACCAGTTACTATGCTAGGTACTGAAGAGCCAGAGATTAAAATCATAGCTCCTGCCTCTGCCCCGCAAAAGCTAACATTTGTACCTCCAGGTGGCTGGGGTCTGTGCTTTTTTCCCTTCCAAGGGAATGCTGAGATGAGAACACAGAATCTTGAACCTTCCTTTTTGATCCTTTTGGATTTTTATCAAGTATAAAAAGTAGCTGAAGAGTTATTTCAAAGATTCATGTGTATACTCAGTTTTTATTGTTAAGCTGATATTTTTAAGATGTCTGAGCTTGTAGGCACATAGGGTTGAAGGCCCTCTGTCTTCAACTCTTTGGCCTTCCACATGTACCATATGGGGGGAAAGGCGATATTTTTACTTTGATGAAGTTTGTAAATGATTTTAGATCTTTGGGAGTGCATTATGTTTGTTATTACATATTTATTAGAGTGATGTATTAAGTTAATAAAACATTAAGACTATTACCAGATTGCCTTTTATTTAGGCAGGGAATTTGAGAAAGACTTTTGCTTTTTTCTGTGAGGGAAACTGGCACCAAAGGAAACTACAGTGGAGTATAAAAATGAAGCAGAGAAGTCAACGTACAAAGAGTAAAATCCTATTGCTTTGATGTGTGTGTGTGTGTGTGTATTCCCCTCCCCCAGATACTTCCTTCTTGATTTTTTTTTGTGTGTGTGTGTGCTGGATATCAAACCTGTTGCCTCATGTGTGCCCTAACACTGAGCCACATCCCAGCCCCTTCATTCTTATCAGAAAGACTGGGAGGTATATAAAACTAAGATCCTACCTTGTAGAGTTCCAGTGGTCCCACAGGTACATAAGCTTTCCTCTGAGAATTTAAATGTATTATTAATTTTTTTAATGGGCCAAAAGGTTCCTAGATGAAAAAGAAATCACAAGCCTTTGGTCTGGAGGTCAGAATCTTAGTTGAGGTTCTAGCAGACACATCATGTGACTCAGACAAATTCTTTGACTTCCCTGATACTAGTTTTCTTGACTATAAAATGTGGATATGGTCCTATCATCCCAATCCAACTCTGACTACTTTGATTCTGTGGAAACTGGAGAAGAGAAAAAATATGAGTGGTTAGCTTCTGTACTGAAGGCAAATTCCAAGCTTAAAGTTGCATGAGTAGTAGTACAGTGGGGATCGAGATTAGTGGCTCTATCTACCTGTGGATCCTTTAAGAGAATGAATACAATTCTGAACTGATTCCCTACTACCTGGGTTCTAACCACCTCCCAGCCAGACATTCAGGCTTTGCATTGGCTCTGGTGACTACCTGCAGATTGCCCATTTCCATTCAAATCTACTCTATACATATTGATTAAGTACCCTGGTATGCCTGGCAGTGTTCTAGGTAGTGGGGATACAGCTATAAGGAGCTTTATTTGATTACTGCTGAACTTTCAGCCCCCAGAACAGTGCCTGGCACACAGTAGACGATCCTGTAGGCTGGCTGTGCTCTCAGTAGCTCAAAGGGAAGAGAAATTGGTTGAGCACCAAGGAAACAAATAAGACACAGTGGCATTCTGTGTTGGTAGGTCAGCAGGACTTTGATAGCTGCTTTTCTCCCGTCCCTCCAAATCTTGTTCCTTGGCTGTCCTTCTTTGGTTTTCCAACACCAGGCCTTTGCACAGTACTTTACTTTGTTTAAAATTTAAATTTGTTTACTATGTAACGCAGATTATAATAATTTTTCAGAACTGATAGGTGATGGCCAGGGATAGTGGCACGCACCTGTAATCCCAGTGGCTGGGGAGGCTGAGGCAGAAGCACTGCAAGTTCCAAGCCAGCCTCAGTCACTTAGTGAGGCCCTAAGCAACTTAACAAGACTCTATCTCAAAATAAAAAAAATAAAAAGGACTGGGGATGTGGCTCAGTGGTTAAGTGCCCCTGGGTTCAATCCTTGGTACCTGGGGCTGGGGGTAAAAAAAAAAAAGGAACTGATAGATGATGAGGAGATGAACAGTTACAGTACGTACTGGGAGGCAAAGCTCTCAATGAATAAGGATGACAAAACATCCTTCCCACAAAAGTTACCATGCACACTGGTTGAGTATTTTCAACCTGTTTTGAAGAGTATGACATTGCACTAAGGGTTAAGTAGAACTGATTGAAATCTAGGTGTCTGCCCTCTCCCACTCTTCTCTGATGACATTTAGAATTCTTGGTCCATTTTCATTTTCCCTATTTATGCTATAAATAAGGAATTCTAATTTTGATTAACTGTATGGCTTTTTTTGAAATTAATTTATCTTTATATTCCCAGTTCAGAATCAAAACAAATTACTGTGCCTTTTGCCCGTGTGAAATTTGAAGATTGCAAATGTCTGTCTTAATGTTATTACTTGACTCCATTAAAAATAGATTGTGAATATTCCATGTCACATTATTCATGAGGTAGGCTCTATGCCTTTTGTCTGCCGGAGTAACAGTAGAAAGGGTAACAAGAGACACCAGAGCACACCTTTGTTTCTTTCACTAAATTTTTAATAACACCTCCAGCTAGCCAGTTGGTGAAGCTCAGCTCTTGCATAAAAGTGGAAAAGCACAGCTATCTCTGAGAAGCCCAACTCTTTCAGTGGCTAATTTAAGTTTGTGTTCATCTACACCAGGCATGATTAAATTACCTATCAAGTGTGCAGGGCTATCAGGATTCAGGCCACGTAAAAGGTGAATTTCATTTGATTGATCTGAGTCACAAATGGAACAACTGAGTTATAAAAGCCCCGCCTTAATTAAAGGGACAGCAACGGATCACTCCCTGGTGACTTTTGACTGTCATTACCCTCGAAAACGGGGTGGTGATAGTGATTTGACCCAGTCATTTTGTCATGTGCCTGTTTGTTTAATCTGATCATTTAACAAAAGAAAAATCAGAGGAAGACATAAAAGGACTTCACTAGTTCTCACTTTGCATTTCTAGAGCACTTTTTTGTTAAAATCTGTGTGCTATATTATCTCTATTGTAAAAACTTTTAAGGAAACATATAATACATTTATTTTAAACTTTTTTAGTCATTAAGTCAGATTTTAAAAATTTTTTTTAGTTGTTGATGGACCTTTATATTTTATTTATTTGTATGCTGTGCTGAGAATCAAACCCAGTGCCTCACACATGCTAGGCAAGTGCTCTGTCACTGAGCCACAACCCCAGCCCAGTCATTAAGTCAGATTTAAAAAATAAAAATTTCAGGGCTGGGGTTGTAGCTCAGTGGTAGAGCACTTGCCTAGCATGCATGAGGCTCTGGGTTTGATCGTCAGCACCACATAAAAATAAATAAATAAATAAATAAATACCTTTATACGTATTGTGTTCATCTACAGCTAATAAAAATAAAAATAAAAAAATTCAAAGAAATTTCACTCAAAATCTTTCTAACTTTAAAATTTATGTTTTTTTCCTCCTTTCTTTCTTACCTCTTTCTTCCTTCTTTGCTTTTTTTTTTCTTTTTAATGTTCCTTTTCAAACTTTACCCACAGGTGTGTTTATTTATATTTTATATTTTTAAACTGGCAATCAGGATATTTATAATTTATGTCTAGATATAGCTCTTTATTTATTTACAATATGGACACATACTTAAAACTGAAATATATTTTACAGTGAGGACAATTTTTTGATTTTGGATTATGTATTATTAAAATCTTAGTATTTAATTAGGAATTTTACTACTTATTAAGACCTACTAAGGAAAGGTCTTTTTTGAAGCTTAACATTACTCACATTTTCCCCCCTGGTACTGCAGATTGACACCAGGGATGCTTTACTACTGAGCTACATCCCCAGTCCTTTTTATTTTTTATTTTGTGTCAGGGCCACTTTAAGATGCTGAAGCTGGTTTCAAATTTGGAATACTCCTGCCTCATTCTCCCACGTTGCTTGAACCACAGGAGTGCACTACCATGCCTGGCTGATTTTTGCTTTTCATATCTGAATTTCCTCCCTAATTGGTGGTTGTAAAGTCATTGCTTATATTTTCTTCCAAAATATATTTAAAAGTTTGCTTGTTACATTAGCTTTCTTATCTAGTTGTATGTGTATGGAATAAAGTAGGATCTAATTTAAAATTATTTTCTCCACTTGGATATCCAATTACCAACTCAACATTTACTGCATATTCCATTTTTTTTCTCTCTGATTGAATACTACCTCTGTCATATGTCAAGTTTCTGTTTCTGTATGGTTCTATTTTGGGGCTTGTTGATCTGTTTCCCTGGTCATTTTGTCTATCTCAGTGCTTAAGCCATAGTCTTTTAAATAATTTAAATTATAATAAACTGATGATAGCTAGTAAGGAAAGGCTTCCCTCTGACCTGTTTTGTCCTCTTCAGGAATTGATGATGGTTATCCTTGGCCCTTTGTTCTAGGATGTGCAAAAGTATTGAAATTGTAGCTTATGTTACATTTATTTAATTTGGGGAGAACTGAAATAATTTGATATTAATCCTTCCCATCCATAGGAATGGCATATTGAGGGTTGAGGTTGTAGCTCAGTGGAAGAGAACTTGCCTAGCATGTGTGAGGCACTGGGTTTGATCTCCAGCACTGTATGAAAATAAATAAATAAATAAATAAGATGTGTCCATCTACAACTAAACATTAAAAAAAAAGAACTGGCACAGTTTTTGTTTTAATATTTATTTTTTAGTTGTTGTTGGACACAATACCTTTATTTTATTTATTTATTTTTATGTGGTGCTGAGGCTCGAATCCATGTTCAAGGTGAGCACTCTACTGCTGAGCCACAACCCCAGCAGCACAGTACTTTTTAAAATGGCATATTGATCATTTATTTAGGTCACTTTTATGTCTTTCAGTAGCATTTTATTTTCTGCATGATTTTATTTTTTTATTCACTATTTGTTCTCATAGTTTCAAAAACTGCATTTTTCTAATCGTTTGCTACTGGCATATGGGAATAAAATTAACTTTTTTTGTATGTTGATCTTGTATCCTGAAACTTTGCTGAATCTGCCCTTTTTTAGTTTGTTGCAGATTATTTTGCATTTCCTTTTTTTTTTTTGGTGATGCTGGGAATAGAACCCAGGGTCTCATGCATGCTAGGCAAGCCTCTTCCAAAGAGCTAAATCCCCACCCCTTTATATTTATTTATTTATTAGACAGGATTTCTTGAAGTTGATCAAACAGGATTCTACTGTCTCAGCTGCCCAAATAAATGGGATTATAGGCATGCCAACATACTCAGCTGATTTTTTTTTTTAGAATTTCTATATGATAATCATAAAATATACAAATTTATTTCATCTTTGTTTTCCTCTTTCCAATTTGATTTTTTAATTTTATTTGTTCTTTAGGCATACAGGACAGTAGAGTGTATTTTGATATATTATATACATACATGGAGTTCAACTTATTCTAATTAGGATCCCATCTTTAGTCCGCAGCCAGCGCAGATGGCCACATGGGAAAATCCTAAGGGAGCTTAAATTAAAGAC